GAGACAGATGCTCAGGGAGGAGCTGACGGAGGCCACCCGCAGCACAGGGAGGCGGACACACCCCCTGTACTCACTCGGTGGGCACGGCCGGAGTCAAGGCCACAGTCGCCTCCTTAGCTTTCCACTTCTTGCGCTTGGCGTCTCCTCCTTTCGGAGAAGTATCATCGTTTGTCCTTTTCTCGGCTCCCTTCCCATCGTGCCCCGCTCTGCTGACCTCTGTGCGGGGAGCCGGCGCCTTCCTGTCCGCTGGAGGTACTGAAGGACCAGAGCCCCCCGTGGCCGCTGGGGCCGCTGTTTCTGGCCCCGTCTCACTTCTCTTTGCTTTGTCTGGGACGACTTTTCTGTTCGGTTGGATAATTCCGGGCTGTTTTTTGGAATCCGTCTGAGAGATAACAAGAGGCTTTTCCGGGGCCTGTGTTTTTTGTTTCAGGAGCTAAGAGGACCCAAAATAAAATACACGACACGTTTTAATTTGGAAACCAAGCACGAGAGACTGAAAAACTTACATGTGTATACACCCCGTCTACCCCTACGGGCATCACTGAGATCCATCATCTGACAGTTTGGCAAAAGCCCTTCTCATTCACGCCTGGTCACCTGTGGTGAGATGGTCTTCTTCGCTTATCTCGTTACAAGGCATGATCTGATACCTGCTGCCTCATTCCTACAAAATTTTAAACGCCTGTCCAACACCTTAAGTGCCTCCCGAATGACTTCACTCTGCCTAAGGGATGGTGAGCAAGCTGCTCTCCCGTTTGCTTAGGGCTTGTGTTAGAGCTCCCTCCTGTGCAGACTAGGCCAACAAAGCGGGGGAGGAGGGGGGGATGGGAACCAGATCCTTTACAAACCCCTCGAGGGTCTCAGGAAGAGAGAGGGGCGTGTGTTCAACCAAGAGTTTGGTTCAAGCCACGGGTTCAAGCCCGTGGCGGCTGAAGAGCTGCCGGCAGCCATACACTGTGCTCAGGCAAGCAGGGCTGTTGTGTCCCTTCCCTTGCACCCCAGCCCCCAGCACGGCGGTTCTCAACCGCAGTTAAGACCCTGGGAGGTGGCACCGAGCTGAGAGACAACGTGGGTTTCTACTTACTTGTTCCTGCAACGTTTAACCACGGAAGGGCTGACTTTTTGTAGAACGTACAGAAAACACAAGCTTTCCCCCTAATAAATCTCCTTTCCACTCACTTGATTTTGCTTTACCTTTTTGAAAGAGAGGGAGGGAGAGCCACAGCTCAAGAAATCGTCCAGAACCCTGGGTTTGCCTGAAGGAGCCTCCTCAGTCCTGTCCGTCCAGACAGGCGGTTAGGATCTCCCATCCCTACGACAGCGGCCGTATTAAGAGGCTCAAGAAGCTTTTCTCTATCGCCCGAGGCTCCGAAACAGAGCCCAAGACGTTGTGGAAGACTCTGAAGGTCGGTGGTAGCAAAGAACACAAACTCCCGCTGGGAAGGGGGAGTCTGCACCCCGATCTGCTGCGTTTTCACTAGCTCTGTGACACTGGGCCAAACGCCACAAGCTTCGCTTCGAGGAAGGCGTAGAGAACTGATGACTGAACGGCATGGAACAGCATTGGGCAGAAAGAAACCGCCACGTGGGGGGCCTGGGTGGCTCAGTCGGTTAAGCAACCGACTCTTGGCTTCGGCTCAGGTCACGATCCCAGGGTCATGGGACTGACCCCTGCATCGAGCCTGCTTGGGATTCTCTCTCTCTCTCTCTCTCTCTCTCTCTCTCTCTTTGCCCCTCCCCCACTTGCGCTCTCTTCTTCTTTCAAAATAAGTAAATAAACTTAAGGGAGAAAGAAAAAGAAACCTCCACGAAGGGCCTGGCCACCCGTGCGGAGAAAGGCAGTAGGGCACCACAGGGGGTTCAGAGCAGTGGCTGCTGGTGTGGGACACCCGGTTCTGCCCACCCGGCTGCAGTCCTGGACAATTTCTCTAACCTTTCCGGGCCCCCTTCCTCGCCCGTAAAAGGAGACGACACAGGCGTCCACCGCACACCGTTGGTATGGGGGTTAAACAACAACACACGTGTAGATGTACCGGCGGAGTCCGCGCATTTCCAGAGATCAGTACCCCGGGGGGCAGCTGCCATCAAGGTCACTCACTCACAAACCCCGGTTCTATCACGTTCCCGCGGACTCGCTGTCCACCCTCACAGGCTAACCTTCCCGCGACAGGCCTGTCTGCAAGGTTTCTACCGCCATGTGCCCGCACAGCGGCCCCACGCGTCTTCCTCTGCCTCCGTCCGCGCGGCCCCTCAAACCTCACCCGCTGCAGCGCCCTCCAGTTGCGGGAGAAGTCCTCCGGCGCCTTCGGAGGTCGGACCACGGCGACTCCGGGGCCGCAGCCCGGTGTCTTGCTCGCTTCTCGCCCTCGGCTTTTCCAGAATCTCCTCTTCCTGCTTTTCTTCCGAGCTACCTTCTTGCCAAGCCCCGGCTCAGCCACGGGCTCGCCGGGGGCGCGCCTGGAGGTCAGCGCCTTGGCCATCCCGCCCCCGGCCGGGCTCTGCCCACCCAGCGCAAGCCCAGGCCGGCCCCCGACTCCCCCGCCCGAGAGACACCAGCCTCCGGGACCCCGGAAACGACCCCGCGCGCGCCCCGGCACGTGCGTCCCGGCCTCTGGAAGTGCTCTTCTCTCCGGACCGGCTGGAAACCGGGCCTCCCTTCCTGGTTCCGCACGGCCGGGAGCAGGGCGGGGCTCTTCTCCCGCCTGGCAGAAGGGCCACCACCCCAGGAGCGGCGTCCGGGGTCCATGACCTGGGGTAGGCTTGGGGTAGGCCCGGGGCCCTACCGAAAGCCGGGACGGGGGACGAGAGACGCGTGCGCCGGAAAAGAACTGGGGGGCCGCTGTCGGTGTAGCACCGCAGCTGGGCCGGCCGAGCGCGGGGGCGCAGGCGACCGCGAGGGGGCGCTGGGCGGACGGGCCCGGGTTGGGGAGCCGCCGGGGTGGGGGGTGGGGGGGGTGGGGGGCGGGGCGGAGCGAAAGGCGCGCGGGCCCCGCCCCTCTCTCCCCGAGTGGGGAAACTGAGGCCGCGAGACGGAAAGAGGGCCCCAGAGCGCTGGTAGAGGGGCACGTGCGCCCTGGGGCTGCAGAAGCACTTGAGCCACGTCCAGCAGCAGTGAGAAAGCGTGATGACAATGCTGCGTATTAGTTTGCGCGACAGCGGTGGTAATAAATCACTAGCACACCTTGCGTGGCCCCTCGGTACCTCGATGAGCCCATGACGCCTTCGCTTCCCTAAAGCTTCGCCGTGAGTATGTGTGTCGTGCGGGGGTGGGAGGTTTTCAGAGAAACTGATCACAAACGAACCAGGTAATTCTGGATGCCGGTAACTGTCGCTAAGGTGATAAAGTGAGATGCTGGGGAAGAGGGTGACCAGGGGTGTGGTTACCAGACAAAATGCAGGGGGCCCAGGGGAATGGGAATTCCTGACAAAGGATAGTTCTCGTATAAATGTGTCCGATGTAAGAGCTGCACTATTTGGGGCATACATCAACTGAAACAAACAAAAGTATTCTTTGTTTCTCCAAAATTCAAATTTGACAGAGTGCCCCGATTTTTATTTTCTAAATGTGGCAACCCTACCTGGAGGTCGCTTAGACCAGGTCCTAAGGGAAGGCCTCCTGAGCGGGTGACATTTGAGCTGAAACTGGAATGTAAAGCCAGGGCTCAGAGGGAAGAGCAGTATCTGAACAGTGAGAAGCAGGCTGGTGTGGCTGAGGCTCTGTGTGCAGGGAGAAGAGGCTTAGAGATGCAGGCGGACGGATGGCAGGGGCCAGTCTGATCTATGATTACAGAGCCTTGGAGGCCTCAGGAAGGGGTTTGGACGTTTTACCCTAAGGGCAAGGGGAAGCCATCGATTGTTACAGAGCTGGGAGGTGATGCAATCTGACTTCAGTTCTTAAAGTCAAGTCACTGCCGCTCTAAGAGAAACGGGATGGGGAGGACGTGAGGGAGAAAGCAGGGAGGCCAGAGGGAACCAATGACAGATGCCCAGACCGGCAGTGATGCAGCTTGGATTAGGGCATGTGTCCATCTGGGTCTCTAGAGAGCAGTCACAGAGAAAGTCAGGAGTGCACAGTGTGAATTAGGATGGCATACCTGGGAAAGGGAAAGGGAGAAAAGCAGGATGGACAGAGAGAGCCTCAGACTGTCCTGCAGGTCTGCTCAGGGAATGGGAAGCGGATTGGGCCAGGGTGGAGTCGGGGCAGCCTCCCTGATAAAGAGGAGGAGAAGCCAGGAGACCTTCAGATCCCCCTCTAGCTGTCAGGGGAGTTGGGGGGCGATGTCCTGGAGGTGGGAGGGAGTGTGAAACAGGGCTTTGGAGAGGGTGGCTGAGAACCTTCCAGAAAGTGGAGTGGGCTGCCAAGCAGTCTGTGACTGTGGTGCCATTCGCCTGGTTCTGTGACCGTCCCTGGCCGGCGGGGGCGGGAGGGGGGAGTGAGGAGTGAGTTCAGTGGGGGGCCGGGCATCTGCCCTGGGCGCAGGGCAGGGCGAGGGTGAAGTGAGATGGGGCCATTTATGTCAAGGGGTCTTAAGTGGAGCTGGAGTCCATTAAGGAGATGGGCCGTATTCACGGCCTCGACATCCTCACCGGTGGAACCATGCACTTTTGAAGTGGGCCAAAGTGCAAATGTTCCAAGGACCGAGCCTGAACCCTTGCAATCAGCTAGTGAGAGGTTGTTTACTGACAGCGTTAGTCGAGGTGTGTCTTACACAGATTTAACTTGCGGCCACCAACACCAGTCTGAAATTCTCTGTAAGCAATGCACACGAGCGAGTCTACTTTTGCTGTAAAGGCCCCTGACTTTGGCTCCCTGGTGGGGCACTGTTTGGATTGTGACCCAAATCTATGTGGCCTGAATTGCGGTTCTGGGATCCCAGATAAATGTGCTTGTGTAATTATCACCTCCGGACAATTTAGGTTGACAAAGGGAATTGAGGACAGGAGAGCAGGGCAGATCATGGGCTGTCCGTGGACGTGAGCGGGTTGTTGGAGGCTGGAATGTTGCTGTCTCCGGTGCAGCCTGTCACCAGCCAAGGGTGAGTAACCCAGCCCCAGTTCTAGAATCACGCCTGGGTCCACATCTGTTAAGATCCCTAGTCCAATGCTCCCTCCTCCAGACTCTGCTGCTTGGCTCAGCCCCGCTCCGGGGTATAGGATCCGGAGCTCCAGACCAAGGACCAGCCTAGTGCAAGGGCCTGCAGGCTGCCCACCCCCGTGGCCCCTGCCCCTGGAGGAAGCTCCCAAGAGTAAACAACAGCCTCCTCTTCCCGCCCACCAGGGTCTGCCACATTCCACACCGGCCAGATTTCCAGTCACAAGGCTCTCTCCCTCTGAGCAGGCTGGTTTTCCTGAGGATGAGGGAGCCTCGCCCCTGGGGGAGATGCGTGGGGGCAACGCTCACTTCTGCCTTCTTTCTCCTGGGCTGCTGGGGATGCTCCGATTTCCAGCAGGTGGGCGAATCTGCAGGAGCTGAGGTGTTTGGGAGCCCTGGAGCTGGGAATCTTGAGCTCTGCTGGGTGCTGCAAGGGGGTGCCCCCCGGGAGAGATGGAGACGCCCAAACGGCCTTTGGGCAGAGTGAGGGCGTCCTTTCAGCTTCCAGGTTTGCACCGGGAGAGGGGCGGATCTGAGCTTGGGGTTTCGGGGATAGAGCGTGCTCACCGAGGAAGGAAAGGGCTTCTCAGTACTGATCTCCCCCCACCCCCACCCCTGCCTTGGTTTCCCGCTCCTCCTTGCCTTGCCCCTCTCCCACCCCCTCTCCCCGCCTGCCTTCTCCCTTGTGCTTTCTGTCCTGCAGCAATTTCTCCAAGCTTTGGAGCCAGAGGAAGTGACTTCTTATTTTGGCCCCGATGCTACCTTAGAAGGTATCTGTCCTGATGTCTTCTCAGCAGAGGGAGCTCCCCCGACCGAGCCGGGGCGGGGGGGGGGGGGGGGAGCATCTCAGCTCCGCTTGGGAGGAGGTCCTAGAAGCTGCCATCGTTCCTGCTTATTAACTCCATACTTCCGCCAAGTCCGTAAAAGCTGGTCTGGGCGTCCTGGACCGAGCTGGGGTTCTGACCCCAGGCTTCTGCTCAATATCTCCAGGGAATGGTTCCTAATTAGCTGGTCCCTTTTGCCCCTGGGCCTCCCTTGGGCTGGCCAAGCTGCAGGAGCTCTTGTGGCTTTTGGCCACGGACGGAAATGGAATTATTTATCCTTTCCGTGAGAAACGAGATAGGCGCTGGCTCAAGCTCCGGCCGGAGCCTCTCGTGTCGCTCTTGGCCGTGCCTGCGGGCTTCGCTGGGGTGCCAGCCCCTTTTCCAAGGCAGGCCATTGACGTAAAGGCTGTTGGGGACCAGAGGCAGGGTGGGCTAGTGGTCAGGGTGGAGAGCAGTAGGGGATGTCCCATCTGTGACTGAATTCCCTGTGGCCTGGGTCACATGCACATTGAGCACTGCTCGGGGCTGCCTGGGGATTGGGGGTGGGACCTCCTGGGGCCTGGGGGCTGCTTTGTGAGGCAGATCGGTGGAGAAGGGTGGTGAGGCTGGCCTGGGGCACCTGCTCTTCCATAAAGGCCAGAGAGGCTGTGGCTGTACCTGCTTTGCCTGCTGGGGTTCAGGCCACCCCTCAGGAAACCCTATTCTGGGGCGAGGCTCGCATGCTGAGTGCTGGTCTGCCCCGGGGTGAGGCCCAAATTGGAGAGGAAACTTTCCGTCTACCACCCTGCATGCCGGGAGGAGCTGGATTTGAGCCCAGGCCTCTCGGGCTCCAGGCCAGCCCTGCGCCCCACTCACCCACCAAAGGGAACGGATCGGTTGCGGGGGGGGGGGGCCCTCCCCAGGGCAGGAAGACGCGGAGGGCTGAGCCCCGGGGGGAGGGGAGGAGCAAGGTGGTCTCCTCTGTCCCGCAGTGCTGCAATTCGACATGGCCCCGCTCACCTGCATCTGTGAGGATGGGCCCGGGGGGCCTCCCTGCAGGGCCCCGAGCTGCTCTCTGCTCGCCCTGGGACAGCTCTTTGCCTTCTCCTTCCCGCCGGAGCGGAGCCTCCTCACCGCCTCCTTCACCAGCGAGCACGTACTGAACGCCTCCCTCCGGCTTGAGAGGCGGCCTCCCCATCCCTGCTTCGCGGGAGGCCGCCCCCTGCTGCCCCTGGGCGCAGTGGCCAGGGTCACCTACTGCTCAGGCCACTTGGTGAGCGTGACGTCCCAGAGAGGCCCTGTCCCTCGGTGGGGCCGGTGGGCTACGTGCCTGTCTGCTGTCTCTCCTCCAGGAGGGCGACATCCTGGTGGGCGCAGACAGGTTCCGCGTCCAGCCGGTGAGGAGGCGGCATTGGGAGCTGCTGCCTCCCCGGGTTCGTGCGCAGCCCCACCTGGTCCACAGGCCCAGCCCCGAGGCCCCCCAAGTCATCCGAGGTACGGCTCCTGGGAGAGGGGGACAGCTCTGGGGGAGGGCCAGCTCTCCCCAGTGCCCAGATGGCTGTGCAGAATGCCACAAGCCCGGCTGAGCCATCTTCTTCAGGATGCTGGGGAGTGGGCAGGCCAGGGGGACATGTGGCCATCGGCCATGCCCCCAGCTGTCCTAGAGGGGGACGGCTAGGCCTCCAGCCTATGAGCAGCCCCTCATCAATCACAAAGCACGTTCACAGACATGTGCTGTTGGGGTCTCCCAGCTCCGAGACTGGCAGGACATCCGATACCACAGATGGGAACACTGAGGCCCAAAGACAGAAGGTGGCCACTTGGGGCTTGCATGGCTGGCTCTGCGGCTGCCCGGGCCTGCTCGTCGGGCCCCCAGCTGCATCCAGGTGCAAGCAGGGTCCTGTCTTGGGCTCATCTCGGGATGACCCCGTTCTCCAGCATGTGCCCAGAGCGGGGACACATCAAGGGGGCAGAGCCAGTGTGGGACTCTGGGGAGACACCAAGGACGTAAAAGCCACACGACAGCTCCCTCCTTGGGCCCTGCCCTGCCACCTGGTCCTTTCAATGCTCTGAAATGGCTAGTCGCTGATGGGACCTGGCCTTGGGGGTGGGCTGAAATCCAGGACCCAGAAGCCTCTTGGGCCAGCTGCCACTGTTTCTGACAGTCCCAATATAAAGTGACTTTCAACAGCTCGGGCCCCTCTGCTCTCTGAGACCATTGATTTCGGAGAAGCCTAGAGGCCGGATCCCGGAGGGCCCAAGGTAGGAGCTGAGACTGGGTCCAGAACAGGCCCTCTCACTCGGCGCCCACCCGCCTGGGAGCAGGCATTCCCTGCTCCCCACCTTTCCCATGAGAAAGCTGGGGACCAGGCCCCCTGAATCCGTAAACCCACGGTGGTAAGTGGCAGGGACAGAGCTCACAACCGTGTCTCCAAGTCCAAGAAAGACCTGGCCGTGGGCGGCCAAAGCTATGGGTCGTCTGCTTTCTGGAACCTTCGCTCTGAGCCCTGCCCCCTCCCTCACCAGGCCGTCCTCCTTCCCCTCGCCTTCGCCTCCGGAGATGGGCTGCCGGCAGGGTCCTGCACCTGGAGCTGCTGGTGGCCGTGGGCCCCGACGTCTACCAGGCTCACCAAGAGGACACTGAGCGCTACGTGCTCACCAACCTCAACATGGTGAGTGTTCCTTGGGGAGCAGGCCCCTTGGATGGTGCTGACCACAAGCGGTGGGGCTTGGGAGCCTCTGGACACGGTGCCCCACACCGGGAACTTGGGGCCGAATGTGAGTGGGCTGGCTTATCTGGTAGTTTGAACTTGGGCTGAACTCGGGTGTAAACCTAAGCAAGGCTGGGGTCTTGGGGCCCAGGGCTTTAGGGCGGGGAGGGGTGTGGTCTGTCCTTTCCTTCCTCCTCCTCCCCTCCCTCACCTGCAGTGGAGGCGGGTGAGGTCCTGGAACCCCTCTTGGCTCCCTAGTGCACCCCACCGCCTCTTGCTACTTGGGTCCCTTCTCTCCAAAGGCCCCTCAGGTCTGGCCTCTGGCCTGAAGTCCATTTGCTCCATGGGAACCTCGGCCAGCACTGCCGGGGCACCAGCTGGGGTACCCCACACTGGCCTCTCTGTTCCCTTTCTTGGGGGCACCCCCATTTCTACTTGGCTTCTAGGGGTAAAGGTGGCGTGGGAAGAGTGGCTCCCACTGATTGTCGTCTCGGGGGGCAGGGTAAGCAAAGAAAGGGGCGTTTCAACAACCTGACGCTCACGTGTAACCTAACAGACTGCATGAAACCCTGTGTCCAGCGGTTTGAGAATACACGTATGACACGCGGTGACTGCTCTGGGCCGCCGGCGAGTGTCTGCCACGTTGGGGGATGGACACCAGTGCCGGGTGGGGGGAGGGACAAGGAGACGGCCGCTGTCTGCAAGTTGGCCGTGCAGGGTGGCAGAGCCCGCCCTCCAAGAATGCGCGGAGCTTGGTGCCACTTTGTGCCCAGCCTTAGGTGTGCCCACCTGTTTGGGGCAAAAGGAAAAGCCCCCCCGGGCTCAGAGCGCCAGGCTATCAGACCACCCTGTCCGCTGTCAGTTCTCTGGGCCTCAGGGACACACCCGTGTGGTCCTGTCCCCTTGCAGACATAGCCCGAGTCCACAGGTCTTTGCCTGCAGCCCCAGAGGTGAAAAACACTTCCTTTCAGTCACCTGAAAGCTTGGCGGGGGGGGGGGGGGGGCCCCCCCCCCCCCCCCGTCTACTCTGCTGAAATTCGGTCGTCAAGCCGTACTCCCTCTGGTCCTTGATGTGTCTTACGAGGACCTGGGACAGTGGTAGGTACCGGACTGGCTCCTGCCCGGATGGTGGCTGGCCGTGGTGACAGCCACTGTCGTGGCTGGGCACCCATCCTGTGCCTGCGACATCATTCTGAGTCCGCCAATAGCCACGGAAGGCTTTACCTCCATGTCACAGATGAGGAACCTGAGCTTCCAAGGTTGGTTAGCAGGATCACGCGCACACGGGTAGTTCGCAGAGCTCGGATTCAGACTCAGGTCAGCCGAGGCCAGTGGTGGCAGGGTTCTCTCTCTGGGGGGCGGGGGGGGGGATGTCTAATTCAGGGACAGGCTGCTGCAAATAACCACAGACAGTCAACCATGATGGGCATCTTGGCAGATGTGCTGAGAGAGAGAGAGAGAGAGCCAGGAGCCTGGCTGGGGGGTGGTGGGGGCAGCGCTCTGTCAGGGGAACCCGGAAAAGGGTTCGCGGAGGGAGGGGAGGCCCTCGTGCCGCCTCCTGGAGAGGTGCAGGTGAAACAAGCCGAGGTGGAGAGAAGGGTGTTCCAGGCGGATGGACAGAGAAGGGAAAGGACGGGGTGAGTCTGGTGAGCAGCAAACGGTGTTGGAATGGAATGTTCTAAACCCATAATTATTTGCATCCCATGGTTTCAGGTTTTCTTTTCTTTGTGGTTGGCCTTCTTGAGCCGTGAGCAAGGAAGACCAGCACACGTCTGCCCATCTCTGTGGCTGGCCGCCAGCCCCGACACAAGCATTTCCCCCCACTGCTAATGGAGCAGTCTCTCCAGGCCCCGCCCCAGCCAGGCCCCACCCACCCACCCACCCACCAGTCACCTCTCCCTCCTGCCTTTCCACAGGGGTCAGAGCTGCTGAGGGACCCATCCCTGGGGACTCAGTTCCGAGTGCATCTGGTGAAGATGGTCACCCTGACCCAGCCTGAGGTAGGCACCAAGCTGGGAGCCCAGAGTCCCTGGAAACCCCATTGCCATTCTCTCTATCTCTTCCTGTCGCTCTCCCCGTCTGTAGCATGGACAGCGACAGGGTTGTGGCGGCGCAGGTCCCATAAACACGGGCTCTGTGACCCCCCCCACCCCCAGGATGCTCCGAATATCACAGCCAACATCACAGCCTCACTGCTGAGTGTCTGTGAGTGGAGCAGGACGGTCAACCCCGAGGACGACACAGATCCTGGGCATGCCGACCTGGTCCTCTACATCACCAGGTAGCCGAGCGCCCCCGTGGCACGCCAGCCTGCCTGGGAGCTGTCCTCCCCTCCCCACCCCCCCTCTGCAAAGGCGGCCCGGCCTCAACAGCAGCCTGGTGCCTTTTTTCTTCCCAAGGTTTGACCTGGAGTTGCCTGATGGTAACCGGCAGGTTCGGGGGGTCACCCAGCTGGGGGGTGTCTGCTCGTCCTCCTGGAGCTGCCTCATCACTGAGGATACCGGCTTTGACCTGGGGGTCACCATCGCCCATGAGATTGGGCACAGGTAGGCATACTGTCCCCAAGCTGAGGTCTAGGAGCCGACTGGGGCTCCCAGGAGGGAACGTTGAGGCTGCCGTGGGGTAGGAGGGCAGCCCTGTAGGAGTCTGCTGGAAGGAACCTGTACCCTTGACCTCAGTGGACTTGGGGGGGAGGAGGGCAAGGGCTGGGAAATCTGCTATTTCTTGATTACCAGGTGATTAAAAAAATTGTTTTTACCCCCTCCTCCCCCCAAAAGCAAGACAGACTTCGCAATTAGAAAACATTTTCTAGGAAATTCAGGTAAAGGAAAAGCAGGCTGTAAAAATTATCCCAAATCCCAGCCCTTAGAGGTAACATCTGTTCACCTTTTGTATGTAATTGTAGTCAGGTCTTACACACACACATATTTACTTTTATTTTACGAAGAGAGAGAATCTTGAGCACACTTAAGCGAGCAGGGGAGGGGCAGAAGGGGAGAGAGAGAATCTTAATCGGCCTCCATGCTAATGCAGAGCCCGATGTGGGCTCGTTCCCACAACCCTTGGATCATGACCTGAGCTGAAATCAAGACTTGGACCCTCGGGTCCCTGGGTGGCTCAGTCAGTTAAGCATCTGACTTTAGCTCAGGTCCTGATTTCATGGTTCCTGAATTCAAGCCTGTCACTGGGCTCCCTGCTGTCAGCACAGAGCCTGCTTCAGATCCTCTGTCTCCCTCTCTCTCTGCCCCTCCTCTGCTCACGCTCTTTCTCTTTCTCTCTCTAAATAAACATAAAAAAAAAAATTCAGATGCTCAACTGACTAAGCCACCTAGGCACCCACACACACATAGTTTTTATTTGCAAAATCAGGATTGTATGTTGTTTTTGTTTTCTATTTTTTAAATTTTTATTTATTTTTGAGAGAGAGAGACAGAGAACAAGCCGGCGAGGGGCAGAGAGAGAGGGAGACACAGAATCCAAAGCAGCTCCAGGCTCTAAGCTATCAGCACAGAGCCCCACACGGGGCTCGAACCCACAAACCTGGAGATGACCTGAGCCGAAGTCAGTTGCTCAACCTACTGAGCCCCCCAGGTGCCCCTAAAGCCTTTTAAAAAATGTTTTATTTATTATTTATTTTTGAGAGAGAGCGTGCACATGAGCAGGGGAGGGGCAGAGAGAAAGAGGGGGTCCCAAGCAGACTCTGCCCTGTCAGTGCAGAGCCCCGGGGGGGGGGGGGGGTCCATCTCACCAACCGTGGGATCATGACCTGAGTGGAAATCAAGAGTCAGTGGCTCAACCCACTGAGCCACCCAAGGGCCACTAAAGCCTTTTGATATTTATTAGCCCAAAGAGGCAGGAACCACCTGGCTGGCTGGCTGAGCACTCCCTCTGGGGGAAACGGAGGCAGGGCTCGCTGGTGGGGGGGCCAGGGGGCCGTGGGGTCTGCAAACGCTTCCAACCCGACCAGAGGGCTGGCCAGGCTTGGACTCCAGGCGGGTGGAGGGGGCACGAGGGCTCTGAGCGTTGCCTCCCCCGGGACAGCTTGGGCTTGGAACACGACGGCGCGCCCGGGAGCGGCTGTGGGCCCAGCGGCCACGTGATGGCGTCCCAGGACGCTGCGACCGCCAGGGGTGACCTCTCGTGGTCCGCCTGCAGCCGCCAGCAACTGCTGCACCTGCTCAGGTAGCCGCGTCCCTCACCCGCGCAGCCCTATCTCCGCCCTATCTCCACTTGGGGCCACCCCTACTTGTGCCCCAGCCCTCTGTTCCATCCCCATCGCGCTCTGTCCCCTCCCCCCTCCGGGGCCCTCCTCCGTCCTCCTTGGGCCCTCCCTCCAGCCACCCTTCCCTGCGCGGATCCTGTTTCTCCCCCACTCCCACGCACCCTCTTGCGTCCACCGGTTTCCGCGCCCACGCCTCAATTCGGCCCCATCCCCGCCCCTCCCTCCAGCCACCCCTCCCTCCTCGCCGCTTCCCTGCCTCATCCCCTTCCTCCCCACTCCCTCTTGCGGGCATCTGCCCGGGCCCCACCCCCACTCCGCCGGGCTCGAGCTCGGTCCCAGCTCTTGCTGGGGGTGCGCGCTCAGAACCCCCTGCCCGCCCGCCCGCCCGCGCCCACCCCTCCACCCCGGTGTGCACCCGGGGTCTGAGCCGGGCCTTGTCGCAGCGCAGGACGGGTGCGCTGCCTGTGGGACCCGCCGGGGCCGCAGGCCGGGGCCGCGGGGAGCCCTCCCCGGGCGCAGCCCGGCCTCCACTACGGCGCGGACGAGCAGTGCCGCGTCGCCTTCGGCCCTGCAGCGGTGGCCTGCACCTTCACTAGGGGGCACCTGGTGAGTCCCGCCGGCAGTCCCGCTTCTCCGCCACCCAGCCCCTGCACCCTCTACCCGCGCCCAGCTCCTGCTCCACTGTGCCCTGTGAGCGCCCGCGGTGCCAGGCCGCCAGGCACCTCTTAAAATGCGTAAATTTTGAGCGAGGGTGCTCATGTTTTCCTTTTGACTGTGTCCCGCAGATTATGTGGAGCCCCTGAGCCCATGGACGCGGGACTTAATAGGCAGTCACCAAGGGCTTCCTGGAGGAAGTCCCCTCCACACTGAATCCTATAGCAGGAGTGTGAGCTAGCGGGGGAAGGGGAGATGAAGGGGGGCCGGCTCCCCAAAGACGGACTTCCTCCCTGGACTTCCATGGGCCCCAGGCACCTTTGCCCTAGCAGGGCCTCTTTCTCAATACGGAATACTGAGAATTGTTATCAGTGTTTTTATAAAACATATAAACTTTTTTCTCTTCGCGTTGTTATAACAAAACGTATTAACGTTATATATGAGGACACCTGCTTTGACCTAAAGAATCATTTTTTGTCTGCTGATTTGAGAAGAAGTGAAAACATTTTTGTGGGCTCACAGACAGGTGTGCTGTGCCCATTCTCCCCGGCCACCGGTGCCCACAGAGCGGTGTGTGTGCCCCCGTGGTCTGCGGGGGGACAGTTGAGGCTGGACACTAGCCCCTCCAGCGGGCCCCCTGTGTCCCCGTTTAGGACGTGTGCCAGGCTCTCTCCTGCCACGAGGACCCCCTGGACCAAAGCGTCTGTAGCCGCCTCTTGACTCCCCTCCTGGATGGGACAGAGTGTGGCGAGCAGAAGGTCGGAGCGGGAGTGACGGAGCATGTGTTGGCTGGCGGGCTCTACCAGGCGCTCGGCTTCCCGCTACCCTGCAGACCTCTGTGCCTCTGCCCTTCTCCTCCACTCTGCGGGGGCCAGACCCCTCTGTCTTACACGCTGGGGTTTGCCCTCTTTCGTATTCAGCTTCGTTTCCTGAGCAGGACGGGAGGGCGGGGCACGAGCATGTGTGTATGCCTGTGTGGCCACCCTGCGTGTGCGGGGCTCTGGGGATTCCAGCCATCCTGGGTGTGCGATGGTGTGCCCTTCTCTCGCAGTGGTGCTCCAAAGGTCACTGCCGCTCCCTGGCGGAGCTGACCCCCGTGGGAGTGGTGCACGGGCACTGGTCTAGCTGGGGTCCCCCCAGTCCCTGCTCCCGTTCCTGCGGGGGAGGGGTGGTCACCAGGAGGCGACAGTGCAGCAACCCCAGGTACTGCATGCAGGAGGCGCTGTTCTCCAGGTCAGGGCTGGGGGGGGAGGGCCCCCCCTCCACATTCCCTGGCTAGGGGGGAGTGGCTCCCCTGTCACCCCCTGTGTCTTGTGGGTACTTTCAGGCCGGCCTTTGGAGGGCGTGCGTGTGTGGGCGATGACCTCCAGGCGGAGATGTGCAACACCCAGGTAGGCCTGCCTCCCCGGGGTGCAGCCAGAGGGTCAGGTCGGCAGCGCGGGGCCTGGGGTGTGGAAGGATCAGGGCGGCTGTAATTCGTGGCTCGCGCCAGGGCGCTTTTGAAAGAGGGGGGTGCTGTTCTACCTCTCCTGGGACCTCAATGCATACTCCAGGACGTCCGTGCAGTGTCCCCCTCCGTCCCAACCTGCCACTGCCCCCCTCAGTACCCCCTGAAACCATTCCTCCGTTCTAAGAGCAGGTGAAATTCACGTCACATAAAATCAACCATTTTAAGGGTGGGATCCAGTGGCATTTAGCACATTCACAATGTTGTGCAACCACCGCCTCCATCAAGTTCCAAACCGCTTCTGTCACCCCAAAGTAGGACCCCAGACCCCTTAAGTCGTTGCTCCCCTCCCCCATCCTCCCGCCCTGGCAGCCACCAGTCACCTTTTGTCTCCGCGGATGCGTCTGTTCTGGACATTTCATATAAATGGAACCACACAATGCGTGGCCTTTTTGTGACTGGCTTCTGTCACTCAGCATCGTGTCCTCAAGGGTCATCCACGGCGTAGCAGGTGTGAGAAGTGCAGTCCTTTTTGTGGCTGGACGGCAGCCCATCATGTGGATGGGCCACATGTTATCCGTCCATCTGTTGACGGACATTTAGGCCATTTCCACCTTTTGGTTATTGTGAATAGTGCTGCTGTGGGCCTGTGTGTATGTGGACTCGAGGACCAATTCTTATTCCTATTTTTTAATATTTACTTTTGAGAGTGAGAGCGCGTGTGCGGGTGTGAGGGGCAGAGAGAGAGGGAGACAGAGGATCCTCGGTGTCAGCGCAGAGCCCAGTGCGGGGCCTGGACTCTCGAACCGTGCGATCGTGACCTGAGCAGAAGCCAGAAGCCACCCAGGCACCCCACCAATTTTTATTTCTTTTGAGTATGCACCTGAAAGTGGGATCACTGGATAGGGGCGCCTGGGTGGCTCAGTCGGTGAAGCGTCCGACTTCAGCTCAGGTCACGATCTCGCGGTCCGTGGGTTCGAGCCCCGCGTCGGGCTCTGTGCTGACGGCTCGGAGCCTGGAGCCTGCTTTGGATTCTGCGTCCCCCTGTGTCTCTCTCTCTCTGCCCCTCTTCTACTCGTGCTCTGTCTCTCTTGCTCTTAAAAACGAATAAACGTTAAAAACAAAAGCGGAATCGCTGGATTGTATGGTGTTTCTACGTTCAAGTCTTTGAGGAGCCTCCAAAACCATCCTGCACAGCAGCTCAGCTATTTTGCACTCCCACCAGCTGTGGGCGAAGGTTCCGCTTTCTCCATATCCTCTCCACTCCCCATCTTTATTGCCCATGAGATTTTTTTAAGATTTTCTTTCTTTCTTTCTTTCTTTCTTTCTTTCTTTCTTTCTTTCTTTCTTTCTTTCTTTCTTTCTTTCTTTTTCTACTTTTAGAGAGAGAGCAGACAGCGAGCCGGGGAGGGGCAGAGAGAGAGGGAGAGAGAGACTCCCAAGCAGGCTCCACACTGTCAGGGTTGAGGGCTCAAACTCACAAACCACAAGATCACGACCTGAACCGAAATCCAGAATCAGACGCTTAACTGACTGAGCCACCTGGGCATCCCTATCGCCGGTGTTCTTTGATCATGGCCAGTACCCTGGGTGCGAGGCGCTCGGATGGCTCCTTTGACGTTGTGTCAAGGTCTGCACGTGGCGAGGCCTTCCCTCCCACTTTCTCCAGGCGGTCACGGAGGGCAGAGTCCTGGAGGGCAGACCTGGAGGGCAGAGTCCTCACCTGGAGCACGGGCTCAGGGAGGGGAGCAGGCGAGCAGTGCTCTTTATTTCTTTGTTGCTGGGTGGTAGGCCCTGCCCTGTGTCCTTGCAGATTCTCCGGGATTCTCCCCTCAGCAGAGAAAGGCTCTTGGCTCCCCTGCTTTATAGAGCGGGGAACTGCAGCGCAGCCAGGAGCGGGCTCAAACCCACATCGTGGCCCTCGTGCCGCGGGGTGCCTTGCCGTCCCCGGTGGCAAAGGCTCCTGTCCTAGATCCCCCGCCCCCAGGCCCCCCATCCCAGGGCCCCTCCTGTACCTGTTCTCTGCCTCCTCCCGGCCAGGCCTGTGAGAAGACCCAGCTGGACTTCATGTCTGAGCAGTGCTCCCGGACGGACAGGAAACCACTACACCTGTCCCCAGGCAACACCTCCTTCTACCGCTGGGGCTCCGCTGAGCAGTACAGTCAAGGTGGGCTGGCCCCCATCACCCTGATGCTGTTGAGAGCAGGGCTCGGACTCAGGCTCTGTATCGCGTCCTGGCTCGGCCCCCTTGCTAAGGGGCCTGAGTCTCGGTGTTCCCATCTGTAAGATGGAAATAAAAGTAGGGACTCCCTGCTCGGGTGTTGGAAGGATTCAGTGAGACGACACCGGGAGGCACCAAGGGGGCTCCTTGGCTCGATTCGGTAACAAGCGTTACGTCGTGATCGCGATCCCTGCCTCAGGAGGCGGGGCCCTGGCCCCAAACCCCGAGGATGAAGTGAGGTGGCCCTGACAAGGGCAGGCCCACCTGGGCTGTGCTCTGCAGGGTCACCGCCTTCCCAGCTCCCGGTCACCCTCGCGTCAGGGTTCTCTGTCTCTCCACCTTCCCAGGGGACGCTCTGTGCAGACACATGTGCCGAGCCATCGGCGAGACCTTCATTGTGAGGCGTGGGGACAGTTTCCTGGATGGGACCCGGTGTGTGCCAAGTGGTCGGCGGGAGGACGGGACCCTGAGCCTGTGCGTGTCGGGCAGCTGCAGGGTACGCGTGTGCGGGCAGCGGAGGTACCCTCCCACCCGCTGTGGCCCTGTGGCCAGTCACGTCGGAAGCCAGATGCTAGGCTCGGAGAGGGCCCGGTCTGCGGGCGCGGTCCTTGTGAAGCTGCCGCGGAATCCGCATGGGGTGATGCTAGGGCACTGAACTGACCTTGGAGTCAGCAGGGGGCCAAGAGCTCCGCTGTGACCTCGGGGGAGTCACGTGTGCCTGCTTCCTGCATGGAGTTTGTCGTGTGAATCCCAGGGCCTCAGAGCCGTGGGGTCGCTGGGGACAGGCGTCACCCGCCACTGCTCTTTGCACAGACATTCGGCTGTGACGGCAGGATGGACTCCCAGCAGGTGCGAGACGCGTGCCAGGTGTGTGGAGGGGACAGCAGCACGTGCAGCCCCCGCAACGGCTCTTTCGCGGCCGGAAGAGCCAGAGGTAGGGGCTTCCCTCGGGGTGGATGGCCGGGCCCCTGCCAGCCTCCAAGAGACACCTGCAGCTCAGAGCCTTGGCAGCGAGCCCCGGACCCTCCTCGTGGGCCTCGGCCTCTGCCCTCCACCTCGCCAGCCTCCCCGCCCAGCTCGGAGTCTGACGAGGCCGCCGCCGGGGGCAGTGGAGTTTTGGGAATGACTGCTCACAGTAGCTGTGATGCAGATAAAACCCAGATGCTGGGCGGTCTGTGGGAGGCCGGCCTGGCCCCTCCTACCCACGGAATCCCATCAGAAGGGATGTTATACTTGGGAACCCCTTGGCTGCGATCTGTTTATAAAGGAGGTCAAGTCATTTGCAAAGTGGGCGCTTAGAAGGTCAGCTGAGGGGTTGAGTCCCACCTCCCTGTGGCGGGTCACACGCTGAGCCCAGAACCTTGGATTCAGTCCCTCCTCCTGGCCGGGGCAGCACCCTGGAGGGTGGCCGCCCAGCCTGGCTTTGATTGGCCCCTGGTGACACGGGGCTCTCTACAGCCCGAGGGGTGACAGGGGCCTCTCTACTGTCCGAGGGGTGACAGGGGGCCCTCTACTGCCCGAGGCAGCCCCATTGTATTGGTAGCTTTCGGGGCTGAGGCTCTTTTTCCTGTACACCTGAAATTTGCTCCCTTTGACTGTGATGTAAGTGACCTGGGACCACCCACCCTCCCGCCCACCCTCCCCTATTTCCTTCTAGAGTATGTCACGTTCCTGACGGTTACCCGCAACCTGACCAGCATATACGTCGCCAACCAGAAACCTCTCTTCACACACTTGGGTGAGCTGGGCAGAGGGCACTCACCCAGAGTTAGCCAGACTGCGAACAGCGAGGCACAGACCCCAAGATGCCCTCACTTCGGATGCCAGCTACAAGTTCAGGGGGTTCCCTGACCACCGCCAGGGTGGATACGTCACTAGGAGGATCCCCAGAAGTTGGAGAGCTTTTATACCCGCGGTTACGGCTTAGACAATAAAGCCAGAGCAAGAGATGCCTAGGGCAGAACCTGGGAGGGTTCCGTGTCCAGCACCGAAGCGTGACAACATGCACCGAGTAGTGCCAACCCAGGGAGCTCACCGGGGTTCAGCATCCAGTTTGAATTAGGGCTTCATCACGTAGACGGGAGGCCTGACCGGCGGACCGGTTCCTCACGCGGATGGTCTCCATCTCTGGGCTCGCTGAGGCGGTTGACTCAGAGCTGCTGTCTAAATCGCGTATTTGGTCTTGCCGGTTTGGCCAGCCCCCACCTTAAACAAAGATACAGCTATCAGGTGTGACGCAAGTTCCTGCCTGGAAGCCCAGGGCAAAGGCCACATCTGTCTTTGGACCGGTTGCATTACTACCCAATGCCACGGTGGTTCTTGATTTCGAGGGCGCCTACACCCGTCCTTGGAATCCGGAGTGGGGGTGCTTGGGGGTCCTTGGGCCCCTGAAGCTGCCTGGAGAGCTCCATGTGAGCACGCCTGGTGAGACGGCAGTCCACAGTGCTCACCAGGTTCTGGGCAGAGGCGCAGAGCCACCGACACGGGGACGCTGTCAGCACAGAGCCTGACACAGGGCTCAGACTCACGAACCGTGAGATCATGACCCGAGCCGAAGTCAAGAGCTGGACACTCAACTAACGGAACCCCCCCCCCCCCCGCCCCGCCCAGGTGCCCCGTGGGGACGCTCTCTGTGGTCAGATGCCTGTGCACACCTGGGAGGCTGTGCCTTGCTGGCTGCAGAGACCGCCTGACCCACCGAGGCACCAGGCAGATGGGCTCCCCTGGGAGGGCTGGGACCCTGGGGGGGGGGGGGAGGCTACAGATGTGGCAGCAGAGATCACGTCCCGTGTTGCCACCACCCCATTCCTTAAACCGGGACCTCTTCCGTGAGGGCTGGTGGCCACCTGCCACGGGGCTGGGGTGGGGTGGGGTGGCGCTCCCCCCGCTGACAGGCTGGATCCCCCCACAGCGGTGCGGATCGGAGGGCGCTACATCGTGGCCGGGAACTCTAGCATCTCTCCCAGCACCACCTACCCCTCCCTCCTGGAGGACAGCCGTGTCGAGTACAGAGTGACCCTCACCGAGGACCGGCTGCCTCACCTGGAGGAGATCCGCATCCGGGGACCCACTCGGGAAGACGTGGAGATCCAGGTGACCAGGAGGGCCTGTGGGGGTTGGTGGGGCCTCCTCCTGGTATCGCTCAGCAGTCAGCCCACAGGGTCCCTGGCGTTCTGAGAGTGGGCGTGCAGGGGTCGGGGGCTTCCCCAGGAGAGGGCTGTGCTGCTGAGGTCAGAGATGAGCTGGCCGGGCCAAGCAGGGAGTGACAAACGCGTCCTGAGGGAACAGTGTGTGCCCAGGATGGGTAACTAGGAGGGATGAGGGAAGGGGACACACCGCCCCCCCCCCAGGCAAGGAGGCAGGACAGATCTGCAGGGGTCTTGCTGGCCATGGGAAGAGTGGGGGCTTCCCCCCGGGGACTTGGGGGTTGGGGAGGGAGGGTGCAGAGGGGGCTCTATGCAGGGCGATCAGGTGCAGTGGGGATCAGGCCTGTGTCGGACCTGGCCCGAGGAGGGCATGGGGAGCGAGACCGTCGGTGATGCCCTGATTAGAGACCCACTGTGGGGGCATCCCTCCTGGAGCCGTGTCAGCCCAGGAGCCAGATGACCCAGAGGTGAAGGGTCCAGGCCCTGGGACTCGACGGACTGGAGTTTGAATCCCGGCTCTCCAAGAGCTTGGGCAAAGGCATGAACTTTCCTAAGCCTAAATTTCCCCACCTGTAAAATGGGGCTAGGCATACCTACGTTACGAAGTTTTGTCAAGATTCATTTGTCAAAAATAAGGTGCATTAAGCATGTGGCAGGGTGGCACGTCCTGAAAGGTGGCCGCTGCTAAAGGGCTTGCTGGCTTGGATCTTGAAGGTGCCAGAGGATGGGCACGCCCCACCCTAATCGAGGGCAAGTGAGACCCCCCGGGAGCCGTGGGACAGAGGGACAGGCACAGGGCCAGGCCTGCAAGCTGAATGTTCTCCCAAGCCACGCTGTCCTCCACAGAGGCTGCTAGGTTCTCCCCCTGCCCTTGTCGCCTGTGTATGCCACCGCCCTGTGCCTCAGTGTTCTCCTGTAGAATGGGCAGGAGGCTGCCGTCCCGCCTCCCGGGGTTAGGGGACACACGCGCCCGGCAGCATGGGCAGCAGTCGCTGGCACCGAGTGGATGTGGGGTCTTTCTGCTGGGGACAGAGGCACACGGGAGCACGGGCTTCGGGCTCATCCTCCACGCACGAGCTCCTCTGCACGTGTCCCCACGTGTGCTTTGCCGAGGAAGGCGCCTGGAGGGGTGGATGCAAGTTAGCATGTGTTGAAATAGCCCTGAGAACCCTCAGGGAGGGGTCCGAGGTTTGGTGGCCCTTGGCTTTGGTCTGGCAGCCCCACCTCTGCCCCCACCACCGGGGGAGATAGCCGGGGTCTCCCCCAGAGTGCAAGCCAGGCTGGAGGGAGCCTCCTGGTAAGCAGTTCACTCCTTCCCTGCCTCCTCGTACAGCCCCGTTCGGCCCCCAGCTCCAACCCCCCCGGGAACACTGTTCCAGATGTGGCCGCCTGGCAGCTGTGTCTGTACCCTTTACTCTGTGGGTAAAAATGCAGATTCCTGGGCTGAGAGAGAGAGAGAGAGAGAGAGAGAGAGCCGCTGAGGCAGGACCCGCCAGGCGGGTTTTAACAACACGGTGCCGGTGCTGAGTGGCCAAATGAGGCATCGTGGGGACGGGTGTTAGAACCTCGTGGGGGGGGGGGGGGGGCCAGCCCGGCCCCTGTCTGTCTCAACGCAGGTTTACAGGCGCTACGGGGAGGAGTATGGTGACCTTGCGCGCCCAGACATCACCTTCACCTACTTCCAGCCGAAGCAGCCACAGGCCTGGGCATGGGCCGCTGTGCGGGGGCCCTGCTCTGTGAGCTGTGGGGCAGGTGAGGCCCAGGGTGGGGCTGGCCTGGAGCACCATCCGCCCCCTGCGGCGAGGTGGCTCAGCTTCCCCCTTCCCCTCCTCCCCCCGACCCCAGGGCTGCGCTGGGTGACCTACAGCTGTCTGGACCAGGCCAGGAACGAGTGGGCGGAGGCTGCCCGGTGCCAAGGGAGCCAGCGGCCGGCAGCGCGGCCAGAGTCCTGCGCCCCTGGGCCCTGCCCCCCAGAGTGAGTGCTGTCTGCGCCCGGCAGTGGCCCCTGGGCTCTTGCTGGCTGCGGGGTCCACGTAGCTTGGGCTCGATGAGGCCGCTTCCAGGCGTGTTCTCGTGCCGTCCCGGACATTGCCCTGGGAGGTGGGTGTGTCAGTGCCCCCATCCTGCAGGCGAGGACACCGAGATTTGGGCCAAGGCGGGTGCCAGGGTCAGCCTAGTGTGACCCATTCCCGCTGCACCTCGTCTAAGGGCAGCGTGCACCCGCTCTGAGCTCGCTGCAGGGTGGAGGTGGTCGCCTCCCTGGGAGGGAGGAGGTGAGGTTCAGAGAGGTGACGGTGGAAAGCAGCTGGCATGCACCGTTGGCAGGAGCGTAACGTGAGGGACCAGGCTGTCCCTGTTGGGTGCCAGGCTGGTGCACACCCGCTAGCACTTTTGTACAGCTGTCCCGAGGCTCAGGTGGCTGGACAGGTCCGCCTTGTCTCCCACCGCCTCTCCTGGGCCGGTCCTCCGGGAGCCGGAGCCCCAGCGGCTCTGTTCCTCCCCGCCTCAGCTGGGCCACTGGAGACTTGGGTGCGTGGGAGAGGGCGGTGTGTTTCGTGGAGGCCCAGGGCAGCCTCCTGAGGACGCTGCCCCCTGCCCGGTGCAGAGCCCTGGCCCTGCAGCCGGCAGTGCTAGAAACCCGCAACCCTCAGCCTGGCCCCGGCAGGTGAGCTCGGGAAGGCGCGGGAGGTGGGGCAGGCAGGGACACCGTCTGCCTGGCAGGGCTTGTCCCTGCACTGAGCCCTACCCTTCCAGAGTGCCCTGTCTTCCCCGGGACTCTGGCTGGGCCCCACCCTCCTGAGTGAGAGGCGTGGGCGGCCCGGAGTGGCCAGCTTCAGAATTGCCATCCAAGAGACCCTGGGCTGGCCATTTCCCTCTCTGAACCCCCGGGTCCCTGCTCATGGAGGGGCTGTGAGGACCAAGTGATGAAGCCACAGATGGCAAGCAATAAGGGTCACTTTGTCACTGCCATCATTGTCTGCACACGGCACCCCTTCCCCCCCATCCCTTCAGTGTCCAAGCTGGCTTATTCTGATGTGCCATATACTGGCTGGGTGACCAGGGCAAGTCCCTTCCCTCTCGGGGCCCCGGTTTTGTTGCTTGTCCGGCGGCGAGGGGGCTGGCCCAGGTCACTGGTGGCCCACGCGTGGCTTGGGCTCCTTTTTCCCTCTCCCATCCGTGGCAGTCGTAGGAACCACCCCCCTGTCCCACCGAGGCCCGCGCCTGCCTCCGAATCCTCAACACGGCGCCGCGGGCCCGACGCCACCTGTCAGGGTTCGCACGCACACGAGACGCAGCGGCCATCCCCGATCTGGGTGACCCGATTCTGTCACGGCAGTGATATTATTACGTGGACGGAGGCCCGCTGTCCTCTCTGGAAGGCAGGAGGGTGAGGGCCGTGTCACCGTGGATGCCAGCAGCCGCTCGTCCCGCGCTGCAGGGAGAGGCCTCCGGGTTTTGCTCCGTGGTGGGGTGCCTCTCTGAGCTCTCGGATCCTGGGGCGCAGGCTCGCTGCCTCCTGCCCCAGGGGCTGGGCTGTACCTGTGGCCCAACGGCAGGGACAGGGCCTGATGTGACTCCCGCATCCTCCTCAGGCGCCAGGAGTCGGACGCGTGCTCATCAGCCTGTGAGGCCCACCTGGCTTCGCACAACGGGACGTGTGTGCACGGGGCAGGTGGCCCGGACGCGCTGGCCACAGCCGGGCCCTGCTCCACAGACGAGAAGCTGCCCGCCCTCGAGCCGTGTGTGGCCACGGCATGTCCTCCGGCACAGGGCCACGTGAGTGCCCTGGGCTATTGGGTGCTTCTCTGGCCAGAGGATGGGGAGCGCTGGTTACCATCCGCCTCCTGGCCAGAGCGCAGAGGGTGTCCCTCCGCAGTCCTGCTGTGCGCGGGATTCCCCCCCCCCCCCCAGCCCCGGTCAGAGGGAAAACTTAGGGGAAAGGCTCGGGACCTACCGGAAAGCCCCGCTGCGGCCGGCAAGCCAGGCTGAAGCCCAGACCCTGTTAGAATGCTGCCAGTTCCCTGCAGCACACACACTCCTGCCTGCGTCCTGGGGCCCTGGCTGGCGGGCGTTGCTTTCAGACAAGCCAAGCCTGTCCCCTCCAGACTGGTGGGGGCTGCGGGGTCAAGGGCGCCCGCAAATCTGGCTCCCGAGCCCCAGCCTCAGCCCTGCCCTACGGCGATACAGAGGCCAAGGTGGGTGTGGGCTGAGGGCTTCCTCTGGCAGCCAGAAGTACATCTCCCCAGAAAGGAGCGGCAGGGAGGGGCAGCCTTGGGGGGGGCGGCTGACCGCTTCTGCTCGCTCCCGAAGAGATTGGCACGGCTGGAGGCCAGGTGCCCAGGGATCGAGAGGGTGAAACCCAGACCCAGCGGCTCGTTCCCTGTTCCCTGCAGACAGACCCCCGGTCTCTAGAGGAGGAGGCCACATCCCCACCGGCCCCTGCCAGGCCGGGGGCCCGCGCCGCACACGTGTGGACTCCCCTGGCGGGGCCGTGCTCTGTCTCCTGCAGTCGAGGTAAGGCCCCCAGGGCTCATTCGCTAACTCTTACCTGTCCCTGTCTACATTTTGTCTAGTTCTTTTTTTTTTTTTTAATGTTTATTTATTTTTGAGAGAGAGAGAGAGAGAGAGAGAGAGAGAGAGAGACAGAGTGTGAACGGCAGAGGGGCAGATGGAGAAAGAGACACAGAATGTGAAGCAGGCTTCAGGCTCTGAGCTGTCAGCACAGAGCCCGACATGGGGCTCGAACTCACGAGCTGTGAGATCATGACCTGAGCCGAAGTCGGACGCTTCACCGACCGAGCCCCCCAGGCGCCCCGCGTTTTACCTAGTTCTAGAAGCATTTGGGTGGGCTTACAGAGAATCCAGACTACACGAGAACGTAACATAATACACAAGGGGACCGGGGCAAAGTGCAGACAGTCATGTAAATGTGTTCATTGATTGGCCGAAAGATAGGGTTAGGGTTCCCAGCCATACTGGCGCCCAAATGTATTTCTTAAGGTGTGGAAAAGCAGTGAGAGGAGGGCCCCAAACTTAGCCATGAGCTTCCTGGCAGCCAAACCAGAAGAAAATTCCAAGCTATGCCACGTTCTTAAACCAAAACACTAACCACTTGCTTCGTGAAACTTGAGCATGTGTACAACCAAGACCAGAGATTTCTTTCGAGGACGCTCCTAAAGGAGAGATTCAAGGAAACCAGCCCTGCTGACATCGTCATCAGAAACGCATTAAGAGATTCTCATATAGCTATTCTGGACCTACTATGTGCCAGGCACTTTGTATCTGCGCTTTAAAAACCTTGGGGCGCCTGGGTGGCTCGGTCGGTTAAGCGTCCGACTTCGGCTCGGGTCACGATCTCGCGGTCCTTGGGTTCAAGCCCCACGTCGGGCTCTGTGCTGACGGCTTGGAGCCCGGAGCCTGTTTCAGATTCTGTGTCTCCCTCTCTCTGTGACCCTCCCCCATTCGTGCCCTGTCTCTCTCTGTCTCAAAAATAAACGTTAAAAAAAAAAAAAATTAAAAAAAAAAATCTTTAGAGGCGCCTGGCTGGCACAGTCAGTTAAGCGTCCTGCTTCTGCTCAGGGCATGATCTCCCGGTTCGTGAGTTCGAGCCCCGCGTCGGGCTCTGTGCTGACAGCTCAGAGCCTGGAGCCTGCTTCGGATTCTGTGTCTCCCTCTCTGTCTGCCCCTCCCCTGCTTGCACTCTGTCTTCTCTCTCTCTCTCTCTCTCTCCCCCCTTCAAAAAGAAACATTAACAAAAATGTTTCAGTCTTTGTAAATATCCCTGCACGTTAGGCAGATGAACAACCCGAGAGAGGTTAAGCCACTCGAACATGTGACTTGACCAGCTGGGAAGTGGCAGAGGCAGGGCTGGAGCCCACGTCGGCCTCATCTGCTAGAGTCTCCAGAGAGCTGGGCACCCGTAGGTCTGGCTGAATCCTCCTCTTGGGGCTCGGGGCCTCTGCTCCCTCCCCGCAGGCCGGAAGGAGCTGCACTTTGTGTGCGTGGACTCTGTCCTGGGGACCCCTGTCCAGGAAGAGCTATGTGACCTGGGAAGCAAGCCTGGGAGCCGGCGGGAGGTCTGCCAGGCTGCCCCGTGCCCAGCTTGGTGAGTGGGGGTGGAGACCGTGCTGGGGGCGGCAGCCCGGGTCCCCCGGGGAGGAAGGAGCCTTACCCTGGCGTGTAGCCTCCCAGGGAACGCCGGCCTGTTACCGCAGGTGGGAGACCCGAGCCTTGGCGCCGTGCCCAGTGACCTGCGGAGGGGGGCGGGTGCCACTGGCTGTCCGCTGCGTGAGGCTGGACCGTGGTCGCCCCATCCCCCTGCCTCACTCCAAGTGCTGGCCGCTGCCCAGGCCCCGCCCCGTCCGGGACTGCAGTCCGGAGCCCTGCCCTGCCAGGTGGGCCCCTTCCCAAGGAGACGGGTGGTCCTAGGCGTCGCCTTCCAGGAAGCCTCTGACCCTCCGTGTCCTCGCCTGTGGGAGCAGGTCACACCGGTGTCCGGGAAGGCTATGGGGGCGGGGGGGGGGGGGGGACGCGTTTAGAGCGTGTGAGTGTTGTCTCCCGGGGTCTGGGATGCCGTGGGCCCATGTGGCTGATGGTTCGTTTATCGCTTGCTCTTTCCTGAGCACCTGCCACGCCCAGGTGCTGTCCTGGCAGAAGGGACCCAGCAGGGAGCCGGACGGACAGGCATCCCTGCCCTCCCGGAGCGGGCGCCAGGGGCCGGGGGAGATGGGAGACAGAGTCGGATGGGGGGATGTGGCAAATGTGGCGGGAAGGAACATTGGGAGTGCCGGCCGGGCGCGGTGGGGGGCTGGGGTTCCTGCTAGACACAGATATCCTTGCAGGCTCCCTTGGGTCCCCTGCCTCTCCCCCAACTTCCCTTCGAACACGTCGGTTTGCCTTTAGCTTTGCGTTCTGCAGAATGGGCTCTCCCGCGTGTTTTCTGTCCACCGGGCCCGGCCTCTCGGTGGAGATGGGAGGGTGACCCTCGGAGAAAGGCCCTTGCCAGGCCCTCCCCGGTCTGGGGAAACGGGACCTGCTTCTCTGGGCGCCGCCTGACCCCGCTTTGCCCCAGGTGGCAGTACAAGCTGGCAGCCTGCAGCGTGAGCTGTGGAGGAGGGGTCGCACGGAGGATCCTGTATTGCGCACGGGCCCACGGGAGGGACGAGGGCGAGGAGATCCTGCCGGATACCCAGTGCCTGGGGCTGCCTCGCCCGGAGCAGCAGGAGCCGTGCGGCCCGGAGCCCTGCCCACCCAGGTCAGCAGCCCCCAGGTGTCCAGCAAGCAGCCCGAGGTCCTGGAGCGTGTGGACGCCCGGCCGGTCGCGGTGGGGCTTAAAGGGCGGCTCTGGCGGGAGACGGCGCTCGGGAAGCAGGACCACCTGGCAGGCTGCACTGGGTGTCCGAGGGGTGACGTTCCAAGAAAACGCAGGTGGCGTGCCCGTGGGGTGCGCGGGTGTGGGGAGGGCTGGGGGGGCTTCACCGGGAGGGGGCAGCATTGACGCGGAGTCCGCGGCCGGTCCCTGCTGGGCACAGGACAGAGTAGCTGCAGCCAACGAGGTCCGGGGGTGGGGTGGGAGCCTGACGGGGAGGAGCAGACAGTCACCTTGTTGGTCGGCCCTGCTTCCACGGCTGCTTCTTTGTAGCTCTGCGTTTTTTTTTTAACGTTTACTTATTTTTGAGAGAGAGACGGAGTGAGAGACAGAGTGTGAGCGGGGGAGGGGCAGAGAGCAAGGGAGACACAGAATCCAAAGCAGGCTCTGAGCTGTAGGCACAGAGCCCGACGCGGGGCTCGAACCCACAAACCACAAGATCGTGACCTGAGCCGAAGCCAGACGCCTCACCGACTGAGCCACCCAGGCGCCCCGGGAGCTTCGCGTTTTTACCACCGAACTGCTTTTCTGAGCCCAAACAAGGGAACAGACACCTGTGTCCCAGCCTTAATCGATTCGCTGTATTGCCACGTTTCCTTCCTGTCGGTCTCCTTGGCTTCAAAGAAATACACCGTGACGGATAAGAATTCGTTCCAATTAAAACGCTTAGCGCACCTGTCATCTATTTGGGGTCTGTCGCAAAGTCGGGAGCACACTTTATTTCTCCACGTCAGTCACTGAATTTCCCCCGACGGCCCCTTTATCACGTCCTAGATCCTTGTGTACGTTGGGATCTGTGTCAGGGCTTTCTATCGGCTTCTGTTGTTTGTAATTCCCCCACCCGTCCCCGTGTCAGAGTGTTTTAAATACTGTGGCTTTACGGTCCACTTACCACCCACCCCGGTGTCTCTTGGCTTGTGCTGAAGTCCCTTGGCCACGCAGCCCGGTCATTCGTATGGGAATTTATCCGGGATTTATACGGCAGTTGCACACACCCCTGAGCTCTGGCTACTCCCCCGATGGCACCTGCCTCAGGGCTTCTGTGGCTACCTTCCCGCTGCCAGGATGGGTCTTCTCTGGATAGCCTTTCGTCCAGGCTCTGCTCAAAGCACCGCAGCAGAGAGATGGGGAGTCCTCCCTGAGCACCTCTCCAGCATGGCACACTCAGCCCACCCCATGACTCTCGGCTCTGCCCTCTTCTTCATAGCATGTGCTACGCCCTGGCGTTTATTTCGCTGTTGATTTCTCTGTCTGTTCCTTCTCTGAGTGTAGCGGTTTCTCAACCGGGGGCGATTTCGCCTCCCAATGTGGCATTGTCTAGAGACATTTTTTCTTTTAAGTTTTTCTTTCTTTATTTTGACAGAGAGAGCACAGCAGGGGAGGGGCAGAGAGAGAGAGGGAGAGAGAGAATGCTAAGGGGCTCGAACTCATGAGCCTTGAAAACACGACCTGAGCAGAAAGCAAGAGTCAGACGCTTAACCAACTGAGCCATCCAGGAGCCCAGCCTTGGTTCTCTTTTCTTTTTTCTTTTCTTTTCTTTTCTTTTCTTTTGTCTTTTCTTTTCTTTTCTCTTTTTTTTTCTTTTCTTTTCTTTTGTTTTCTTTTCTTTTCTCTTTTCTTTTCTTTTGTTTTCTTTTCTTTTTTCTTTTCTTTTCTTTTCTTTTCTCTTTTCTTTTCTTTTCT